CTGTACCTGTAATGAATATCAGCCCGTTTCAAACTAATAACGGTTTTCTTCATTTTCAATACTTCTTTCAGATAAAAAGGTGTACATTTTCAATTGTTTTTTTTGTGCTGGATAATGACCCCACACCTTACAAAAATAATTAAGTATACATGTTACACAAGTGTCAAAAAGTGATATCTTAGTTTCAGTATTAAGTATATAATCCTTTATTCTATTCTTCAAAAGATATTAAGCTTTCCTTCCTTTAGGTGCCAAAGTATGCTGAGCCACCGTAAACCTTTCGTTATGATTAAAGTATAATCCTAAATAACAAAACTGATCTACAATGTACGACCTCTATAGTCCTTTCGTTAATTATCATTAGGTAATATCCGTTTGCTTTTTCTAAAAATTACCATTTTGTGTTTTTTCTGTGTTAACCGTTAAGCTCAATTTTTCATCATACATTATGTAAGCTTGCAAACAATCGAACGTATTTTGAAGATCGTTAATATCTTCTGAAAATAAAACTGTATCCTCAGCATACATTTTAAGAAATAGATTTAATAGTCGTAATTGATGTCAATCTATTTATTTATAGACGAATGAAATATTTAACCCTAGTTGGGCTCAACTGGAGTTTTCACCTCATAACCTGGCAAAATAGAAAGTTATTCTTATGTTTACTATTCCTATTGATCCATTCAGTAAAATGTTCCGATCTCTATCTGCAGTGCTGACCGACTTTAAATAAAATCGGTCCATTGTTTGGCTGTTCGGGTGGGTACACTGGGCCATGGTTTATTGTTCCGGTAGCTACACAATTGGTCCATTGTTTAATTGTTCGGGAAGGTACATATTTTGGAAAAGCCTGCACCTTAAGGATAGTTCCCGCCACAACTAGATGGCTCGTTTCTCCCTTTGTGTTACAAAATAAGAAATAGTTCGTCGATTTCAACATTTATTACGATACAAAAACAGCATTTTCAGACAAAATAAATACACAACTTTTATATCTTATTTTGTTAAGTTAAACATGCACAGCATGCATTAATACGGTCAACATGATAAAAAACAGCATTGAAGTAGATGCGGCGTTTTATTTTTATGAATTTGATAATTGGCCATTACAATGATATGTCTTCCATTTTATTTTCATTATCACAAGTATCACATACATAAAAGCACCATTGACATTGCTTGAAGACAACAGAGACAAGGTTGTATTGTTGGCTGTACATGGTTTAACGTCTTATCAATAGCTAAGCTAATTTTAGGACGTGCATCTATGTGTGCTGTGTATGTGTTGGAGACAGGGTATGTTGGTGTATTTGTCCCCTTGTGATAGCGCAGATCTGATGCCAACTTTATTGTGCTTTCTCATTGAAATACCAAGCCGAAGCACCAAGCACAGCATTTCGCCCGGTCACATTATAGTGACAACGGTTAAACCAGTTGTTGTCATTCCCCTTAATGCTGAACGTTATGTAGGGGATAACAACTGCCACTTTTAAGGACTTTGGTATGTCCCGACCTGGGGACAGATACCATTGCCTTCCTCACTTGGGCGAACATTAACTATTACAGCCAAAAGAGAGATATTTTCTAGCAAGGCGCTAGGAAATAAAAGATAGTAAAAAGTAGAGATATATAAAGATTCCAAATATTGCAGTGGGTGCAGCAGACTTATTTTGGTCGCTTTTGTGTCCCCAAGTAGAGGCCATAAAAGCAAAACCTCACTTCAGCAAAGGTTTCCAAACATTAGTCGCCTCTTTCGATACATTCCTTTCTCGATCCTGCACGGGTCAGCGAGACAAGGAAGACTTCGATTTAGTGTTATTTATTTACATACACATATCACGACAATTATCTTTAAATTCGATGTGCTGATTGCTTTAGATTATGTTAGACGAATGCAGATTCTATAAACGACTTTTTCAAAGATACTGTGAACCCCCATGGGTAATCATTTTGATGTCATACAGGCCCTGGTTGACACTAATATGTGTATTGGTATTAGCTGTGCTACCATCATCACATTAAACACATCAACGGAGAGTTTTCAATCAAGATTAACTTGCATGTGTATAAATACAATTTACATTCAATAAAACGAATAAATAAAACAGACAAAACCGGTAATATGGTCATATGATACTTTTAATTTCCACCTGATCAAAATAATCGGATGGGTTAAAATTCTTACAAAAATATTTTACATAAGGATTCTGATTATCCAACGCATTCAACATACTTATTTTTTAATATAACATACAACATTTGATATAGCGCCCTGTCTAGCTAACATACGCCACTCTAAAGCGCTTTACAGTACTTAGGTATACAATTAATAAATTAGCATATACATTAATCAATACAATTTCGAGGAATTCAAAGGAGCTGCCTTATCAAGCACTAACTACTAATCCTATGCCACCTTGCTAATATCTCCCTATGTGTGTAAAATGTATACCTGCCTGTGTGCTGGTGATGTAATTTCAGAAAATACGTTTAAGGAGTTCATTACTGTATCATACATGTTAAACATTTTTGTATACGTATACATAAATGGTGCAAGCATACAGGATACATTTACCAATATTTGTACATGATACAGGTACACAGGTATTCACCGTAGGTCATGGACGTAATGTTTCTGTACACAACGAAAACAGATATAATCAATTTCACTCAGTCATATCTTTTGCGTGTCCTGAATTTACTTTGTGTAGAGGTTAGTATTTATGTTTGTGTTTGATTTTTGGTTCGACAATTATTTTCTAGCCTTCATCAGACAAATGAATGTTGTGTTCGGCATCTCAATACATGCACTTGTCGGGTCACCAAAAGAAAAGAAACTTAAAAGGCTATTCAAAAAATGATTTTGTTATTGAGAAATAAGATATACATTGTCCTTTAGCCATTTCCCCTCTTTTGCCAACCCCTAGAGTAGGTCAGGACCTTCATTTCTGATACAACTTGATTTCAATTTCATCATAACTATTCCAACCTAGTTTGAATCATTTCTTTAGGAGAATAGACAAAAAACATCCAAAAGTATGCCTGTGTAAACTAGAGTAAACTTTACCCTCTCCCCAAAGGAGAGCAGAAGACCTAGATGTAATGAAATTTACCATTTAGGTAATGCACCCAAGGACCTGTCCATCCATGAAGAGAACTTATTCTTGTACAAATCAGTCTGAGGAAGAAGATTTTTGAAACTTTAGCAATATCACCTATTTGGGCACCACACCTCCAGCTCCTGGGGCGAGGCAGAATATTATTTTCTCATTCCATTTAATTGCTATCTCCTTATAATTATTGCACCCAAGTTTTAATAATTTCTTTATGAGAACAGACAACATATACCCAAAAGTGTTATTCCCCTATACAAACTTAAGTAAACTTTACCCCCTGCCCAAGGGAGAATGGATGGCCCGGGGTATAGAAACTTACACGTTAGATGAGGCCCTTGATGATCTTTCCATCCATGCGGAGAAAATTATTGTAGTACTCTGAGTCTGGAGAAGAATATTTTTTGAAATATTGGTTAATTGTTCCTTTGGAGCCCCGCTCTGGTCCCTGCGGTTGGGGAAAGAATCCAAATTTACACTTGGATACCCTCTTCCACCAAAGATCATTCTCACCAAGTTAAATCAATGTCCTGCTGCAAATGGACACAATATACCAAAAATTGTTATTTTCCTAAAACAACAATAGTAAATCTTACCCCTTCCCGAAGACAGAACGGATAGCCCGGGGTAAGGAAATTTGCAATTTCGAATAAAGCCGCTGATGATCATTACATCCATGCAGCGAAATTTGGTGTAGGGCCTCTGAGTCTGGAGAAGAAGATTTTGAAATAATGGTTAATGTTCCTTTTTGGGCCCCTCCCTCGCCCCTTGGGTTGTGGCAAGAATCCAATATTTACAATTTGTTACCCTCTTTCACCAACGATTATTTTGACCAAGTTTGAAAAAAACCATCTAATTGTTCTTCAGAAGAAGTCAAAAATGTAAAAAAGTTTAGAGACGACGAACGACGCACGACGCACGACGAAAGGAGATTTGAATAAGTAACTTGAGCCCTTAGCTCAGGTGACCTTAAATGCATAACAGTTGTGATTGGTGGACTTATGAATAATGAAAATATGTATTCCTTTAAATACAATAAAGGGCTATATAAAGATAAACATGGTTCAGAGACAGATTTGATTTATATGTAAATAATATCGATACTCGTGACATCACAATGTTTTCACATATCATAGCATTTTTAATCACCATTCAGTGTTATTTTCACATTTGTCATCTATTTCTCAAAAACGGTGTATCTCCGCACTACTTTTGCTGTGACAAGACAATCCGCTATATAATGCAATCGGGTGATAAAACCTCTACATCTTTTATTAAATATTTTACACAAATTCAGGACCTGAAAAAATGTACCAATGTACAAAACCCAACATACTCACAAATCGAACATATCTCTTCATGGTCAATGCATCATAAGGTAATGTTTGAACAAGTAAAGTGTAATCGGAGAATAAACTGACAAATATGCCGAAGTTTATGTTTTATTTTAAAATTGAAAAATGAGATGTTAAAAACATATCTGATGTAACAGTGAATAAATACGAAAATGTACACATCTACTTAATAAATATACAATTGAATCGTGTAAGTTTGAAAATATCAAAAAAGATTAATGAAACACGAGTTTGGATGAATGATACAGTATTTATCAGGTACTGGATTTAAATAATGCCAAGAACTTAATATACTCATACAATGATGTTACCGTCCGTCAAACGAAACCTTTCTATTTGTAGATCGATTTAGAAAAAATAGCTATTAATGTTGATTAAACAAGATTTTACTGTTTATAAAACAAGAAAAAAGATCTTAGTAATCAAGATATTACTGTTTAGAAAACAAGATCTTACTGTTTATAAAACAAGATCTAACTGTTTATAAAACAAGATCTTATTGTTAAGAAAACAAGATCTTACTGTTTATAAAACAAGATATGTTTCCTTTTTATAAAATGATTTATTTACGTTCATACTCTTTACGGAACCAAACAAAAATTACTGTTATGAAATATCATATCTTTAAAAAACAAGACATGTTTATTTAAAATATTTAACTTTTTACATTGTATACGGCAATATCTTAATAATTACTATAAACGTTCGCGTTGATCAATTTGAGCATTGTTAAAAAAACAATCTAAAATATAATGCAGGAACTTCAAATATAAATAAATAATAAACGTTTATACATTTAAAACGATAGATACTAAATACGTTTGGAACAAAACAACATTGAATTAATATGTCATAAACACTAATATCAAAGGAGAGGGGATCTACAACCTTCCGGCTACGAAAAATCTATCGAAACAACATCTGTATTGATGTTATATATATTCAAGGAATATTTGACCAGAGTGTGTAGAACGTAAGTGTCTGTACCCAAGACATGAGCACCGCTTCTACAGTGTGTGCATGTATGCTGAAGCCGTGCTGTAACGTATCTATTTCTGCAAAGTATGGCATTCAATTGGACAAGGGCACGTCTTTTGTTGCCGTTGAGCCCCCCTTTCAGCATTTATATGTATCGTTGTTGATCAACTTGAATTCGTTGACATTTGCCGAGTGTGTCACACGCCTGGATGTTTAGCTGCCTCATATGCTGACCTTCCCCATTCAGTAGCTGACGAGGACTACTCGCCCTGCGATAAAAACATAACACGTTACTGTAATGGGACCAGAAACTAAACATGAGTTAAACGACTGACGACCACGAGGACCGTAGTGAAACAGTTACTTTGCTAATGGTGACGAGGATTTGTAAACCAATTACACAACCATAGAGCTTACAGAGGTTCTAACTGAATGGATGGGTGTGCATGCGATGTTTAATAAACTTTATTTATTTTACAACAATTATGAAACAAGTTGAAAATGCGATGTTTAACACAAAGTAGCCTTTAACAAAATACTCTAAAATTACTTTTATAAGTAAATGTTATGTATTTACTGTACACATTCGCGATTCTCTTCAATTGAATTCGCTGTTTACTACCATTTAAGATATACCTTGGTATTCAATATTGTCTAATTAGCGGAGATTCCTTACATATAGCTAATTACATTCCAAGTAATGAAATAGTGTACTTACATTAATTAAATAAACGTTTCTGATGCTCCCTGTGAACATAAAAAAACGATTTATAACCATGCTCTTTTGGCAATTAAATTAAAATAACAATTAATCAATTAATTAAAATGGCTTATCTCTATCGTCATTATAAGAAATGGCAGCATTATGAGTCATACATGTTAGAATCTGCTCTACCATTCATTTTAGCCATGATAGACAATCCAAACTGGTACTTGAAAACCTATTTGAGATTAACATTCTGATAAGCACAATATTAAATGTGTTAAGAGTAAATAAATATTACAAAATCAAAAGAGTATGATGAAATGTTCGTACTGTTATATTTGGTAAATAGATTGGGATTTTTCGTCTCCACCATATGCAGATTTTCCTTTAAAAGTTAAAAATAGAAAACAGGTATTGGCAAGATAGAAAATATACAAAATACGATAATTAAAACGAATGTTCTATAATAAATGCATTAATTTCCCTGGCAAAAATATATTCGTGTGATTAAAATGACATAGAATATGATCCATTTGTTATAGTAGAAATATACTCTTGTGAACATGTTGAGACATGACGGTCCATATATTATAGAGAACATTATTACCATTACTATAAACTATTACTATGTTGCCTTTCTGATGCAGCGGAACCTTTTGTCTGAAACCAATTGGTTTTGAGATGCAGGCAAACACTTTATCTTGTCCAATATTTCTCGTCACTAGCATCTGAATTGTATCTAGCATTATACAATATTTTATTATGAGCACTGACAAATCCTAGCTGCATATCAATAAAGAGTCAACATCAAACTACCAAACAACGTACCTAGTTATACAAGCTAACAGCATGACGGCAAACAGTCCTATGATGCTGCACAACACAAGAGCAATAGTATTTACTGGGAATTTGGATCCTCCTGAGAAAGTCAAAACATTAAATGAATGAAGAAAAAATGTCTCAAACGATTGACAGATTTGAAACAATAAGATGAATTCTAGTAGTAAATAATATGATTGATTAATTTCATAATATGACACTGATTACGTTACCTATACATCAAAGCTATTGTATATTTAAGTCTTCCATGAGGAACATGTCACCAAACACCAAATTATTACTACTTCGACTATATTAACCTGACTGCGATATCAGACATTCAAAAAGAACACGGCCTCGTTATTCAAATCAAAACATGCTCTCCTGGCAAGAACTGTTCAACACAACGTACCCGGCTGTATAAGAAAGGAATACAAGTCTAATTGCAAAAACATATATGACAGAGTTGATTGATTAGTTCGGCTTTCTACTGATAACTGAGTTAATATTACTAGGTTTGCAACGTTTTATAACATGACTAACTGAATCAAAGATGTATTTGTGTAAACACATTGTAAAACAATTAAACCGGCTGAAAGGTAAGTAGGTAAAATATAATTGTTGGAATATAAAACAACACTGTCAATGCACTAAAACAAGACAGTATGAACCGTTAAGCGTTTCCTGAACCACATGTAATGCCCGTCATAATGTGTCCCTGAACCACACGTGACACTCGACATCATGTGTCCCTTCACCACATGTGTCAATCTTGGCTTTGTCTCTCGTCACCATATGAGCACCCAGTACAAGTTAACCACATGTGACAACAGTCATAAAGTGTCCCTTCACCTCATGTGGCATCAATAACTATATCTCCCATCACCACATTAGTACCATTTACAGATTAACCACATGTGATACCCGACATAATGTGTCCCTTCACCTCATTTGTCACCCTTAACTTTGTCTTCCGTCACAACATTAGCACCCGTAACAGGTTAACCACATGTGATACCCGATATAATATGTCCCTTCACCTCATGTGTCACCCTTAACTATGTCTCCCGTCGCCACATTAGCTTCCGTAACAGGTTAACCACATGTGACACCCGACATAATGTGTCCCTTCATCTCATGTGTCACCCTTAACTATGTCTCCCGTCACCACATTAGCACCATTTACAGATTAACCACATGTGATACCCGACATAATGTGTCCCTTCACCTCATGTGTCACCCTTAACTTTGTCTTCCGTCACAACATTAGCACCCGTTACAGATTAACCACATGTGATACCCGACATAATGTGTCCCTTAACCTCATGTGCAACCCTTAACTATGTCTCCCGTCACCACATTAGCACCATTTACAGATTAACCACATGTGATACCCGACATAATGTGTCCCTTCACCTCATGTGTCACCCTTAACTATGTCTCCCGTCCCCACATTAGCATCCGTAACAGATTAACCACATGTGATGCCCGACATAATGTGTCCCTTCACCTCATGTGTCACCCCTAACTATGTCTCCCGTCCCCACATTAGCACCATTTACAGATTACCCACATGTGATCCCCGACATAATGTGGACCTTAACCTCGTGTGCAACCCTTAACTATGTCTCTCGTCACCACATTAGCACCATTAACAGATTAACCACATGTGATGCCCGACATAATGTGTCCCTTCAACTCATGTGTCACCCTTAACTAGGTCTCCCGTCACCACATTAGCACCATTTACAGATTAACCACATGTGATGCCCGACATAATGTGTCCCTTCACCTCATGCGTCACCATTAACTAATTCTCAGGTCACCACTTTAAAACCTAAACAGGTTAACCATATGTGTGTCCCGACATAATGTGACCCTTTACCTCATGTGTCACCCTTAACTATGTCTCCCGTCACCACATTAGCATCCGTAACAGGTTAACCACATGTGATATCAGCTCAATTTACCAAATGGACCAAAAAGTGCCTTTTCAGCTCACCGAAATGGACCTCTGAAGTATATGAAATGCATATACATTCTGTATACCACTGTCAATGTCAATTAACCAAAATGGACTTAAATACCACAGTTCCAACTGACCAAACTTGAACTTTCAAGTAAAACAAAAACAATAAATATATACAAAAGTGTCAATTCACCAAAATGGGCCTCTAAATTATAAAAACAAAATGTATACTAGTGTCAACACACAGAAATTGATACACTGTAATTTAAAATATAACTTGTAAAGTGAAAATAAAATAAAAAAATGAACCTCTGAAGTAAATAAATAAAAATATATTACAAATGACTTAACCAAACTGGACTCTGTAATTATGAAAAGAAATGTTTAAATCTGATAAAAGACGATATTGTTTACGAAACACGCGATTCCACATAGATGTAAATTATTCAAGTCTTTATGTATATTTTCATTGTTTTTCTTTAATTATTCATGAGTCATATACATTGTATAACATATTTTTCAACTACATACATTGGAAACGCTTAATCTCATTTCAACCTCTTGGGAACCAATTATAAAACATTTTCCCAATTGGTTTGTAGTCTTATTTATTCTGTCCTATTGTCCTTTACCGTCCTGTCCTTGTGTGTAGCACGTAAATGGACTAGCCAGTTGGGATGAATGGTTGAGTCTTGCTGTAATGGAAACACAGACCTCTACACCGGAAGGGATGTTGTAGAGATTGACGAAGCTGGCATTTCCCTTGAGTAATTCTGTTTGTGTTACAGTATAAAACATACATGTCATATATTTATACAATGTTCTATTGAAGTTATATATTAAAAGTTTTTAACATTTTTCAGAAACATGATTGTTACTCTGTTATCTTTAAGACATTGTGCATGGAGACGAATTATTGATAAAATTACGTCAAACTGGCACTTCAACAAAATCAGGCAAAACATTAATGGTTAAAATCAAATGTTAAACAACAATCAAAGTATCATCATTTGACAATCATGACTTTATTACAACTTTGTGATAAAATACAGCGGTTTGATATAAACAAAAATCCCGATTCGGGTGCTGTCAGTATACGATTTATAGGTTATCGATGTAGTTCAGTGTAACTTATTCCCCTCCTAATGAGAAATTGCATATACAATTTATATGTTGAAAAAATGCCAATAAATATTTAACAGTTCGTCTTTTCATATGCCAGGTATCATTTTTAGCACATTATTATAATCCCACAAAGAGAAAAAGGATGTCAATCAACCTCACACGTAACTGTATTAACAGTCAATGACCTTTTGAGGTAAAACAGTAGTAATAACTGACATACAAGACATTTTAAGGGATTAACATATTTTTAATAATGTAGTACATATGCAAATGAAAGTGGGACACATGAAATGCTTTTGATGAAGAAAATCCATTAATTAATTAACTTACCCCTGAACAAGCCAATAAAATAGAAGGAAGAATCAATTATCAAAAATATCTTAAATTTCTAAAACATATTTACAACAACGAATCTACTGGAATTGACGGATTCAATGTAGAATTATTTTGGTCGATATAAATATATTATTAATGAATTCACTGAATCAAGCGTATGGTAATGGTATCTTTGACATAAGGACAGGGTAGGATTACATGTATCCTTAAAAAAGGTAAATCTGAATTATACATTTAAAATCGGAGACCTTTTACTTTGCTTACTATTGGCTATACAATTGCATCCGTTGTTATTTCCGTGCCTAATTGCCATGAAAACACATTTAGTGTTTCCAGGTCACCATCCTATCCTAATTAAAGCAACCTAAAGCGTTTTTGTTAATTTTCAAAGAAGTTTTCCAAACATGAACACAAGTAACTTTTTGTTTTGCCCCATTACATATCTAATGCATGTTTGCAATGTATGTAAACTGAATGTAACATTTAAAATCTGAATTAAAAAAAACCTGAAATTCCAATGAGCAAAAACAGATTACAATACGAATGCTTACGGTTATAACGTTGGGTAGATGTGCTGATTTTGACTTGGTAATTTGTCCTGTGACGAAGTTCCTTTAAAATCAAATTATTGCAGTAGGAATAGGCCCATGAAACTGCCACCATTTCCTCCTTCGGGAAACCGCGAAAGTGTATTCTTGGTGATCGGAAGACACCTACAACGTAATCAATATTATACATAATGTATTCCATAACATATTTAACGCATAGTGCTATTTTATATATGTTGATCTTAACGCCACACTACTCGAATACTTAAACAAAATTACGTAGAAATATTAATAATTTGTTAAACATGAAATAATGTTTAATTACTATCAAAAGACAATATAGAAATGACTTTTGAAAATTAATTAATAATCTTTAAAAAAGAATGAATGTTTTTATAATATACATTGAATTGCACGAAGAATCTATCTACAAAAATCGGACGTGCATACGAGGGAGAATCGTTGAACAGTCCGTCCACTGGAATCCGCTGCTGACGATCTTCCCATGTTGTTTACTTTCTGCGGACACTCCAAAAATGTATGCTTCCTCGGAAAATCCTTTCAGATAGACAGACGTGCTGTTGTGCCTGCTGCTTACAGTTTTGTGATAAAACCCACTCTACAAAAAACATTGTATAGCTTTATCGGAATTCAGTGAGAAGGAACTTAAATTGGGGGAAAACAGAAAAAATCTAGGAGGAACAGTATGGAATTTTCTTATGATTACAATTAATTAAGTTGGGCATGTTTTCCTTTAGATGAAAACAAAATACAAGCGAAAGCTATAGGCGAAACTTACACTTTATCACCAGCATAAATGAAAATGACCACATTGAGCCATACATGTAAACAATTGTAACCTCCGCTATTATGGCCTTGTGGCTTCTTAGCAGACCGAAGTTCATAGTTCATAGTTCATGGTTATACAGTACCATTTTATAAGGAAACGAATAATTAAAAGAATATCTTTTTAGCTATGACTCTTGCAACCATAGATTCATACTTACTCAGAATGACACTGCTGAACTGATTTGATACCATGTAAGTTTTTGTGTGTGTGGTTCAATGACTTTAAAAAAGCGAGGTCATATGAAGACGGTGCCTGAAGACACACCGCCGAAAGGGAAGTGATGGCAAATGAGGTGAGGCACAGAGACATATAATTTGTTTAACATCTGTACAATACATACACTACACGACCGTTCTGGATTAATTAACATCTGTACATTACATACACTACACGACCGTGCTGGATTAATTAACATCTGTACAATACATACACTACACGACCGTGCTGGATTAATTAACATCTGTACAATACATACACTACACGACCGTGCTGGATTAATTAACATCTGTACAATACATACACTACACGACCGTGCTGGATTAATTAACATCTGTACAATACATACACTACACGACCGTGCTGGATTAATTAACATCTGTACAATACATACACTACACGACCGTGCTGGATTAATTAACATCTGTACAATACATACACTACACGACCGTGCTGGATTAATTAACATCTGTACAATACATACACTACACGACCGTGCTGGATTAATTAACATCTGTACAATACATACACTACACGACCGTGCTGGATTAATTAACATCTGTACAATACATACACTACACGACCGTGCTGGATTAATTAACATCTGTACAATACATACACTACACGACCGTGCTGGATTAATTAACATCTGTACAATACATACACTACACGACCGTGCTGGATTAATTAACATCTGTACAATACATACACTACACGACCGTGCTGGATTAATTAACATCTGTACAATACATACACTACACGACCGTGCTGGATTAATTAACATCTGTACAATACATACACTACACGACCGTGCTGGATTAATTAACATCTGTACAATACATACACTACACGACCGTGCTGGATTAATTAACATCTGTACAATACATACACTACACGACCGTGCTGGATTAATTAACATCTGTACAATACATACACTACACGACCGTGCTGGATTAATTAACATCTGTACAATACATACACTACACGACCGTGCTGGATTAATTAACATCTGTACAATACATACACTACACGACCGTGCTGGATTAATTAACATCTGTACAATACATACACTACACGACCGTGCTGGATTAATTAACATCTGTACAATACATACACTACACGACCGTGCTGGATTAATTAACATCTGTACAATACATACACTACACGACCGTGCTGGATTAATTAACATCTGTACAATACATACACTACACGACCGTGCTGGATTAATTAACATCTGTACAATACATACACTACACGACCGTGCTGGATTAATTAACATCTGTACAATACATACACTACACGACCGTGCTGGATTAATTAACATCTGTACAATACATACACTACACGACCGTGCTGGATTAATTAACATCTGTACAATACATACACTACACGACCGTGCTGGATTAATTAACATCTGTACAATACATACACTACACGACCGTGCTGGATTAATTAACATCTGTACAATACATACACTACACGACCGTGCTGGATTAATTAACATCTGTACAATACATACACTACACGACCGTGCTGGATTAATTAACATCTGTACAATACATACACTACACGACCGTGCTGGATTAATTAACATCTGTACAATACATACACTACACGACCGTGCTGGATTAATTAACATCTGTACAATACATACACTACACGACCGTGCTGGATTAATTAACATCTGTACAATACATACACTACACGACCGTGCTGGATTAATTAACATCTGTACAATACATACACTACACGACCGTGCTGGATTAATTAACATCTGTACAATACATACACTACACGACCGTGCTGGATTAATTAACATCTGTACAATACATACACTACACGACCGTGCTGGATTAATTAACATCTGTACAATACATACACTACACGACCGTGCTGGATTAATTAACATCTGTACAATACATACACTACACGACCGTGCTGGATTAATTAACATCTGTACAATACATACACTACACGACCGTGCTGGATTAATTAACATCTGTACAATACATACACTACACGACCGTGCTGGATTAATTAACATCTGTACAATACATACACTACACGACCGTGCTGGATTAATTAACATCTGTACAATACATACACTACACGACCGTGCTGGATTAATTAACATCTGTACAATACATACACTACACGACCGTGCTGGATTAATTAACATCTGTACAATACATACACTACACGACCGTGCTGGATTAATTAACATCTGTACAATACATACACTACACGACCGTGCTGGATTAATTAACATCTGTACAATACATACACTACACGACCGTGCTGGATTAATTAACATCTGTACAATACATACACTACACGACCGTGCTGGATTAATTAACATCTGTACAATACATACACTACACGACCGTGCTGGATTAATTAACATCTGTACAATACATACACTACACGACCGTGCTGGATTAATTAACATCTGTACAATACATACACTACACGACCGTGCTGGATTAATTAACATCTGTACAATACATACACTACACGACCGTGCTGGATTAATTAACATCTGTACAATACATACACTACACGACCGTGCTGGATTAATTAACATCTGTACAATACATACACTACACGACCGTGCTGGATTAATTAACATCTGTACAATACATACACTACACGACCGTGCTGGATTAATTAACATCTGTACAATACATACACTACACGACCGTGCTGGATTAATTAACATCTGTACAATACATACACTACACGACCGTGCTGGATTAATTAACATCTGTACAATACATACACTACACGACCGTGCTGGATTAATTAACATCTGTACAATACATACACTACACGACCGTGCTGGATTAATTAACATCTGTACAATACATACACTACACGACCGTGCTGGATTAATTAACATCTGTACAATACATACACTACACGACCGTGCTGGATTAATTAACATCTGTACAATACATACACTACACGACCGTGCTGGATTAATTAACATCTGTACAATACATACACTACACGACCGTGCTGGATTAATTAACATCTGTACAATACATACACTACACGACCGTGCTGGATTAATTAACATCTGTACAATACATACACTACACGACCGTGCTGGATTAATTAACATCTGTACAATACATACACTACACGACCGTGCTGGATTAATTAACATCTGTACAATACATACACTACACGACCGTGCTGGATTAATTAACATCTGTACAATACATACACTACACGACCGTGCTGGATTAATTAACATCTGTACAATACATACACTACACGACCGTGCTGGATTAATTAACATCTGTACAATACATACACTACACGACCGTGCTGGATTAATTAACATCTGTACAATACATACACTACACGACCGTGCTGGATTAATTAACATCTGTACAATACATACACTACACGACCGTGCTGGATTAATTAACATCTGTACAATACATACACTACACGACCGTGCTGGATTAATTAACATCTGTACAATACATACACTACACGACCGTGCTGGATTAATTAACATCTGTACAATACATACACTACACGACCGTGCTGGATTAATTAACATCTGTACAATACATACACTACACGACCGTGCTGGATTAATTAACATCTGTACAATACATACACTACACGACCGTGCTGGATTAATTAACATCTGTACAATACATACACTACACGACCGTGCTGGATTAATTAACATCTGTACAATACATACACTACACGACCGTGCTGGATTAATTAACATCTGTACAATACATACACTACACGACCGTGCTGGATTAATTAACATCTGTACAATACATACACTACACGACCGTGCTGGATTAATTAACATCTGTACAATACATACACTACACGACCGTGCTGGATTAATTAACATCTGTACAATACATACACTACACGACCGTGCTGGATTAATTAACATCTGTACAATACATACACTACACGACCGTGCTGGATTAATTAACATCTGTACAATACATACACTACACGACCGTGCTGGATTAATTAACATCTGTACAATACATACACTACACGACCGTGCTGGATTAATTAACATCTGTACAATACATACACTACACGACCGTGCTGGATTAATTTACATCTATACAATACATACACTACACGACCGTGCTGGATTCACTTCGCACCAATAAACTGTCATCAAATTCGCCATAGCATGTGGTTTCCATGATATTTCAACTTCCTCGGAATATATTTTCGCGTTTATGAAAATGTCTTGAGGCAGATTTAATCCTGCAAAAGAAAAGGAAAAAATCATTTGACTATATTCTACATTAACACAATAAGTACACCTGTCAGATGTGTATTTGTTATAACCTGTAAGTTATATCATGTCAAGCACCCAACTGGGGTTTTTCAAAATTCCCCATAGTGGTCGTTCCTTTGTCCATATTTTGCACGAGTTTCATCGGTTTTGAGTTCGATGTACTGTTGTGCTAACACTGCGGTCAGACATGTACACGCGCTGATTTTTTTGATTTTTTTTTTGTTTGTATTTTTTAGACCTTAAAAGACTGCGATGAATACGATATCTAAACGTTATTAGTCAGTCGTGGAATCTTTTTGTTTTTCAAACAAACAATTCCTCCTGATCTATCATTTAACTGTGTTACATGATTTGTGGCCGTGAAGAAATACGCTTCCAAATTTTATATTGATAATCTGTTTTTGTTTTTGAAAATAATGTAAAGCAATTTGCATGGGTTTAAGGTCTTTTCTGTGATATTGTGTTTAATACTCATATTGTTTTACCGCAGTCTGTTAGCTAGTATTTATGTCATTATAGAAGGTTTTTTTTATGTTTTAATCATTCCATAATCCATTATTTCATAATAAAAACCTAGAAACAAAATGTGTTCAGATCGTTTACTTGCCTTTATCCTCTATATGCATCTTGCTTGATTCACCAGACCGGCCGATTTCATTTTTTGACCATACAAATATGTGATAGGAACAATTGGAGAGGATTTTGAATTTGCAAAAAGCCTCCACTTGTTGTAAATGCAATGTTTGTTGTCTACAAGGCTTCATGGGACTCACTCTTATGACATAGGAAGAATTCTCACCATTCCAGGAATACCGAGGAAGAGCCTGTATGAATACATAAAGCAAATCGAACACTGTCCTAATATAAAACGACATGATCTGAAAAAAACATACTTGTTTCTTTTCTATTCAAAGACAATCATTTATTTTAATTTAACAATGTCATTTGGTGTCTTTAAATATACATTAAAAGTTGTTTAAGAAGAAGGTTTTGCAAATATCACTTACTGAATATACAACATAAATTGATAAATGATATACGTATAACTATCTTAATAATTTATCCTATTCATTATAAAAGGGTTAGCATAATGAACACGACGAACCATTACAATTGATGAGTAGCTCTGTTTAAGCAGTATTCTGTTTTGTGGAAGCACTTCACAGCCGAGATCGTTTTGCAACCGGCCAGTAAGCTTATATATCAGATACATTGCCAAAAAGGACGAATTGCTTCCCTTTTAAACATTTATTGTCTAAAATGTTCGGAAGATATATTGCAGATAATATGATTAGATATTTAATACTATTAGTTTATATTTAACACAATGACTAGATATTTAACACCACGAGTAGATATTTAATACAATGAATAATTATTTAACACAATGAGTATAAATTAAACACAATGAGTAGATATTTAACACAATGAGTAGATATTTAACACGACGAGTAGATGACTAACACCATGAGTAGATATCTAACACCACGAGTATATATCTTACACCACGAGGAGATAAATAACACCATGAGTAGATAAATAACACAGTGAGTAGATAAATAACACCATGAGTAGATAAATATTACAGTGAGTAAATAAATAACACCATGAGTAGATATTAAACACAGTGAGTAGATATCAAACACAGTGAGTAGATATCTAACACCATGAGTAGATATATAACACCATGAGTAGATATATAACTCCATGAGTAGATATATAACACCACGAGTAGATAAAAAACACCATGAGTAGATATATAACAACATGAGAAGATATATAACACCACAAGTAGATATCTAACACCACGAGGATATATCTTACACCACGAGGAGATAAATAACACAATGAGTAGATAAATAACACAGTGAGTAGATAAATAACACCATGAGTAGAAATCTAACACCATGAGTAGATAAATAACACCATGAGTAGATATCTAACACCATGAGTAGATATATAACACCACGAGTAGATATCTAACACCATGAGTAGATATCTTACACCACGAGTAGATATATAACACCATGAGTAGATATCTAACACCAATAGTAAATATCTAACACCACGAGTATATATCTAACACCACCAGTAGATATATAACACCATGAGTAGATATATAACACCATGAGTAGATATCTAACACCACGAGTAGGTTATAACACCATGAGTAGATATCTAACACCACGAGTAGGTTATAACACCATGAGTAGATATATAACACCATGAGTAGATATCTAACACCACGAGTAGGTTATAACACCATGAGTAGATATTAAACACAGTGAGTAGATATTAAGAACAGTGAGTAGATATCTAACACCATGAGTAGATAAATAACACCACGAAGAGATATCTAACACCATGAGTAGATAAATAACACCATGAGTAGATATCTAACACCACAAGTAGATATTGAACACAATGAGTTTATATTTAAAACCATGGTTAGTTTTTTTATCAAAAATTATCTTTCGTCGGTAAACGGAAAAATTGGACAGACCTATGTCTGTTAATATTGAAAGGAATCTTCAATGGCTTAACTTACTGACCAGTAGACGGTGATTGCCCTAACTTACCGACCAGTAGACGATGATTGTCCTAACTTACCGACCAGTAGACGATGATTGTCTTAACTTACCGACCAGTAGACGATTATTGTCCTAACTTACCGATCAGTAGACGGTGGTTGTCCTAACTTACCGACCAGTAGACGGTGATTGTCCTAACTTACCGACCAGTAGACGGTGATTGTCCTAACTTACCGACCAGTAGACGGTGATTGTCCTAACTTACCGACCAGTAGACGGTGATTGTCCTAACTTACCGACCAGTAGACGGTGATTGTCCTAACTTACCGACCAGTAGACGGTGATTGTCCTAACTTACCGACCAGTAGACGGTGATTGTCCTAACTTACCGACCACTAGATTGTCCTAACTTACCGACCAGTAGACGGTGATTGTCCTAATTTGCCGACCAGTTGACGGTGATTGTCCTAACTTACCGACCAATAGACGGTGATTGTCCTAACTTACCGACCAGTAGACGGTGATTGTCCTTACTTACCGACCAGTAGACGGTGATTGTCCTAAGTTACTGACCAGTAGACGGCGATTGTCCTAACTTACCGACCAGTAGACGGTGATTGTCCTAACTTACTGACCAGTAGACGGCGATTGTCCTAACTTACCGACAAGTAGACGGTGGTTGTCCTAACTTACGGACCAGTTGACGGGGATTGTCCTAACTTACCGACCAGTAGAGTGTCCCAACTTACCAGTAGACGATGAGTGTCCTAACTTACCGACCAGTTGACGGTTATTGTCCTAACTTACCGACCAGTTGACGATGAACTTCCTAACTTACCGACCAGTAGATTGCCCCAACTTACCAGTAGACGATGAGTGTCCTAACTTACCGACCAGTTGACGGTGATTGTCCTAACTTACCGACCAGTAGATTGTCCCAACTTACCAGTAGACGATGATTGTCCTAACTTACCGACCAGTAGACGGCGATTGTCCTAACTTACCGACCAGTTGACGATGAACTTCCTAACTTACCGACCAGTAGACGGCGATTGTCCTTACTAACCGACCTGTAGACGGTGATTGTCCTAAGTTACCGACCAGTAGACGGCGATTGTCCTAACTTACCGACCAGTAGATTGTCCCAACTTACCAGTAGACGATGATTGTCCTAACTTACCGACCAGTAGGCGGCGATTGTCCTAACTTACCGACCTGTAGACGGTGATTGTCCTAAGTTACCGACCAGTAGACGGCGATTGTCCTAACTAACCGACCAGTAGACGGTGATTGTCCTAACCTACCGACCAGTAGACGGCGATTGTCCTAACTAACCGACCAGTAGACGGTGATTGTCCTAACCTACCGACCAGTAGACGGCGATTGTCCTAACTAACCGACCAGTAGACGGTGATTGTCCTAACCTTCCGACCAGTAGACGGCGATTGTTCTAACTTACCGACCAGTAGACGGTGGTTGTCCTATACCCTCTAATATTAACCGGACCAAATGTATATGCACCGGGTAAAAGTTCAGGTGGTCTCGATGGAACTGAAATGCCAACAATTATAACTATGAATAGAAATATGCATGATAAGGTGGGCAAGCAATTCAAAATTTGAATCAAGAAAATCGGAACCCATCGCTATCGGATATACACCATTGAGCGCTATTATTAAGTTTAATAAGTAGATACATTACCACTCTTAGGCGTTACTTTGTGGGTGGTGCTCAGTATGCTCCAATAGCCTGTAGGGAGTCCGTCATAGTTAAGAGGTCTCGTCTTCACAGATATGGTGTAGTTGGTATTATATGTCAAATTACAAACGTGGTAGTAATAACCAGATGATGGATCTTCCGTTGAATTGATTTCCTGTGAAAGTCACAAGTACTCGATTAGCTGATTCAAAATATTGATATAAAATGAGAAAGTTGTAAAACAAGTGTCTATATATCAAAACGTGTAGATCCGTTTCCTATTTTCCTTTGATTTGTGAAAGACACCGTTCATTACTCTGCCATTGAAATACCAAGCACGGAAAAAGACATTCAATGACTCAAAATGATTGGTCACATGATTTATATTCATTATTTTTCTATTATAGATACAAACTATAATGTGTATCGAACATCCGCGCTGTGATTAGGATCCCCGCTGTGATTAAGGGACGCTAAAACAAGACTTAAAAACCCACTTATAGTAAGGTAACTCACACAACGGGATTAAAAGTTCTAATTATACATACAGGCATCGAACTGTTTTCACTTATTAGGCTTGTTATAGATTTTCCTTAAACAACTTTAGGGAGTCAAAACAGAACAAAACGTAACGTACGTAGGTGACATTGTTTCGGTCCGATGATAACTGTAGGGTGAATGTTTTCTCATCAAGGGTGTTTTCGTGAGCCCAGGTAATATCCAGACATAAAGGTGACGTTGAGACGGCTTTTATGGAGCTCACTGCAGCTGGCTTTACTATCATAATAAAGATAACACTGACATGTGAACGAAAGCGTTATTTAGCTCAAAATCGATAAAACTAGAGCAACTTAAAACTGCAGGTAACTATTGATAAAGGGAAAAAGAGCGATCGGAAATCGAAATCCTCGCGAATATCGTCAAGCTTATTATTAATCCATAGTAAGCCGTCGTTGTTGGTCCTTTTGTAATTAACGATGGAGGGAACTGGCTGATAAAATTGGAAAGGAAAGCATATGCTAGCTCCTTTTTTTGTCGGGCTAATAAACATTGACCTAATGGCCTATAGCTAATTCTGAATCATTGAAAGAATGCAGTAGCATTCTTTAAATATCAGAGAATATATTTTATGTTATTTATATATTACTTTATACCACCTACCGGTAGCATGATAAATTCATTAGAAGAACTTCCCATTCCCCAGCACTTGGGAACGTATTTTCTCAAAAAAGAACGTCTGCTCGCGCCAGATGACGTCCGTAACCGGAAATAGTGTCCACACAAAAGGGATCCGCGTAAGAAAATAGTCCGTCATAAACATATCAATATAAAGTTACGGAAAAATATTGTTAGAATAACAACACTATTTCAGGTGTAAATGTGCAAATGGAAATGCCAATGACGATAGAATTGTTTAAACAAAATTCTACGTGGTTTAAAGGTTCATTGTATTCCTCCGCGAAAAACTTCTATTTGTTTACGTTTGTCACAGGCGATCGTTGGCCATTTAGCTTAGAAATCTTTTGTAAAATATGGTGTTTAGTTGAGTTTTTTTAAATTGGGAAATATATCAGGTAGTAGTATATAGATGATAAACAGTTTATCATACAGTATTTTTAGAGTTTGTCGTTCGAATTATTTTCTCATCGCGAGCACGTGGATACAATCGAGAGGCCACCGCATGTGGACTCGAGATTTTATCTATGTGCGAACGATGAGAAAATAATTTATTCTTTGAATAAACACCATATTTTACAAAACTCACGACAAACCCTGAAAATACAGTGTGATTATCTATAAATACATGCCTTCAGTGACATTTTTTATTGAAACAAATGATATAACCTTCTTAATATCCCATAAAACCCTCAATTTCATGATTTATATGTAGAAAACCAATTAAGGGGCAACATTAACAGATAGGAATACTCTAAGTATATTGAGCTGATATAATAAAACTGTTACTCTACGATCGACAGGTTAATGTGATAAACTGTTCTTCTGTAACCAATCTCTCTGAGCTGAGGATATTTCTGTAATTGACTGTATCAAAGTTACCTTTCTTTACCTTTCCCTCTTCTTTCTATAATACATCTGAACATCAGAATACATTTAAATTTTTAAGAATGTATTTCAAAAGAAAGTATGAAAGGTGTAAGAGAGATGATATGATATGCTTTAGCAAATTAACACTCAAATGTGAATAAATTTGGTATTTAATGATGATGATGATGACATCAATATAATAACTACTTTGTATCATGATGAACATATCAGTGTGTTAGTTATGATGATTTTATTATTATACAATAAAGATAATATCAGTTAGAGGTTGATGATGGCATGAGTGTGATAATGATGAAATCAGTGTGATTATGACGATGATGATGATGATGATAATTTTAGTGTCTTGTTGATGAAAATGTCTGGGTAATGATGAGGATTATTTAAATGTCATATGATGATGATAATGATACCAGATGATGACGACAACAGTGTGATGATGATGATATTATTGTGAGAACGATTCAGATTTCAGTCATGATGATGATAGTAGTTTTATGATGATGACAAGTGTTATAACGATCGATATCATTGTGAGAATGAGGATGATTTTAGTCGTGATGATGATAATAATAATAATGAAAAAGTTTATGTCAATTGGATGATGATTTTGTGTCATGATGGATATATCAGTGGGATGATTATGATGATGATGATGATGATGATGATGATGATGATGATGATGATGATGAAATGAGAGAGTATGAAAAAGAAATGTATCTATTTATGCATATTGTAACAGAAATACACATTTTTATATATATATATATATGTGATAGATACCTTCATTAGCAATATCAATACCATGACACTCCTCTCTCGACACGTTAACACCGTTGTGAGTTATAAGCTGAAGGCATATTGAAATGTGTCTGTCCGGATCAATGTCATAGCTCTGACCGTTTCCGCCCAAACCCCAAGTACATGATGATCTGGTGCTGCTTGGACAATTTGATGGTTTTTGGTTTCCAAATGTCCTGTAGAACGGGAAATGAATCATTCATGGTTTTAGCGATATTTTTTTTAGCATCTGTACACACATGTCATTGTAGGGACATTATATAGGGATACATGTACGTATTTCAAAGTAGGCTTATTTCAGAGTCAATATCTTACTACTTATCCGGTGACATTGAGACAACCTCCATGAAGGCGCTTCCTGACCATTGACTTACCAGGTGATAGACGTTGTAAGACCACTGCCATAGCCCGTAGGTTCCGTCCAATCGCAAGTTAAATTGATGTTCCAGTTGTTTGTGACACACGAAAAGTTTCTAAAGACCTGCTCTGAAAAAACAACGAAACATCAAAATCATCAAACGGAACATGGAATTTTGAGAATTGGCTGTTGGTATGGAAACACAAATAACTGAATTATATACACTAATTATTTCCAAGTGTTTCAGTAAATAAAACATTGCTGAGTAATGTTTGTTTGCTATCAAATCCGACTGCAACCAATCGCGCACTTAATGTACCTACCATATAGATCAGTGATATCATAGACAGCACACGTTGTGTTGAAACATGTCAACATAACATTATGTGTTGATCCGTGATAGCATAGATAGGGTATGTTATTTTACATGAAAACTTTAAGTATGCATAAACAGAGGACGATATTATTTTATATTTCATACGACTATATATGGTTCTGCCATGGCTCCTTTACTCTACGGTACACTAATATTCTGTAATAATTGTGCACTATAAAGTAGAATTGTTACAGTCAGGAACAGTTTCACTTACCTGCATAAGAAAGGTAGCATGCAGTTAAAAATATAACGAAGGAAATAGTGTCCAGCATCATCTTTTTGCAGATGCTTACTCTGAAAGAAAGAAGTATACCTTATTGTTAACACGCTGGGCCAACATCAGGTCTCAAAGTCAACATCAGGTCTCAAAGTCAACATCAGGTCTCAAAGTCAACATCAGGTCTCAAAGTCAACATCAGGTCTCAAAGTCAACATCAGGTCTCAAAGTCAACATCAGGTCTCAAAGTCAACATCAGGTCTCAAAGTCAACATCAGGTCTCAAAGTCAACATCAGGTCTCAAAGTCAACATCAGGTCTCAAAGTCAACATCAGGTCTCAAAGTCAACATCAGGTCTCAAAGTCAACATCAGGTCTCAAAGTCAACATCAGGTCTCAAAGTCAACATCAGGTCTCAAAGTCAACATCAGGTCTCAAAGTCAACATCAGGTCTCAAAGTCAACATCAGGTCTCAAAGTCAACATAAAACCAGGTACCGAGTAAGCTGGGCCAACATCAGGTCTCAAAGTCAACATAAAACCAGGTACCGAGTAATGCAATGGTGGAAAGACAATAGAACAGAGGACTCATAGACAATAACAGAAACATCGGATTCTCCAAACCAGGGGGCATTAACAAGCTTGAGGTACAGGCTGTCTTTGCAATTGTAGAACCGCGATGAAGTTTGTGCTTTAACTTGAATCATTCCCCTGCTATATATAGAATGAAGTTTGTGTTTTAACCTGAATCCTTCCCCTGCTATATAGAGGATGAAGTTTGTGTTTTAACTTGAATCCTTCCCCTGCTATATAGAGGATGAAGTTTGTGTTTTAACTTGAATCCTTCCCCTGCTATATATAGAATGAAGTTTGTGTTTTAACTTGAATCCTTCCCCTGCTATATAGAGGATGAAGTTTGTGTTTTAACTTGAATCCTTCCCCTGCTATATATAGAATGAAGTTTGTGTTTTAACTTGAATCCTTCCCCTGCTATATATAGGATGAAGTTTGTGTTTTAACTTGAATCCTTCCCCTGCTATATATAGAATGAAGTTTGTGTTTTAACTTGAATCCTTCCCCTGCTATATATAGAATGAAGTTTGTGTTTTAACTTGAATCATTCCCCTGCTATATAGAGGATGAAGTTTGTGTTTTAACTTGGAGTATTTTCCGGTTATATAGAGGATGAAGTGTGTGTTTAAACTTGGAGTATTTTCCGGTTATATAGAGGATGAAGTTTGTGTTTTAACTTGGAGTATTTCCCGGTTATATAGAGGATGATATAGGTTTACATCCCATTGGTTGTTGGATTTGACTCGTGTAAGCTTCTGTGTACGACTCCTGCATTTTTAATATCGATTTACGATCAGCCTTAATTTTGATATAATAGAGAATATTAATATAAAGGAAAATGTTTCCATTATCCATCATCTTTACAAGTTTTATATAAGTGTTTATGTGATGAACTATTTGTCACTTGAGTGTTTTAAAATGATATCAGGGGTAAATATTGTATTTGTTTTCTTGAAAACACCATAGTATATAGTATTGACAATTTTCCTTGATGTATATCTCAGATATCGATCTTTTCTCAAAGGTTACAAATCCAGATAGATCAGAGAATCAGGCCGCCTGTGCTGGATCATTGTCTATATTTACATACAAATCTGCAGAAATCTTCATATACAAATGTAACATAATTTTGGAGATATTCTTTTACATTTTACGTCTATATAGTGCAGAGACAATCAGTACTAGTTCCTGGCACTGCCTTATCTTCTAGTACTACGTGTGTATGGTTATAAACCCAGGTTAGAGAGTGTAAGGAGGGAGGAATAAGACGCCCCGTTACATTTAATTATACATACATGTACATGCTGTTAGTTGGTCTCCTATACAAGAGGCGGCGTTTAGTACAATGCACGTATAGGAAATACATCTTTTAAACGTTTCTTATAAAGTAGTAACTTAAGGCTAATTTAACACGCTAGGATACATTATCCTACCACCCTGAAAACAAATCTCACGAGGAACATATTCATTTCTTATTGAAACCAATTTGACGCTTCTTCCCTTTAACGACGAATTGGCGTCCTGTCAATCTAATACATGTCTAATGCGTTTTAAGAATTTGAAAACATAATTTTACTTTGTCGGCCAAAGTTTTAGTAGACCCTGCATATAATTGCAAAATTATTACGCTTGACAACTACGACAATGGAAAAGCGGAAGAAAGGCTAATCATGCAGGGGAGCAAGGACATTGTTATTGTTAAACTACATACTTAATATTAGTCATGACACTTAATAAATTCTTTTATGACACATTTGGTCAGTTATTGGACTCATTTGACCAAAACATCATTATACATACGCGAAGAATAATGGAATACCCAACGACAAACTGTTAAATAGTAAATTTAATTATACATAGCTAGATGCTATTTTTTCATAATTCTTTATGGCAATCCTAAGTTGAAAATGTGTATGCTAATGACGTAATTGTTAGTCTCATTATATCGTTACCAATGTCAGTCAACACAGGATATATTGCGGTAACGCAAAACAAAATGTCCGGAATGTTTAAAACACCCTTATCATTATGTTATCAGTGTAGTAAACACAAAATATTAATGTATTTCTATATTCACTTTACTTTTCACTGAAAAAATATATGATTTAAACAATAAAATGTATCGGGATTAATATGGCATATATCAATGAAGAATAAGTGATGCTTGACCAAATTTGTTTACTGCAGAATTGATTTCCAACTTAAACACGGTAATGTAAAATCTGGGCAACAACAGGCTACGAGCGAGAGTAATTGCTAAGTTAAAAATACCAACAATGATTTTTTTCATTGTAAAGGAATTTCAAGAATGTGGTTACATTTCGTGGATGTAACCAACAATCTGTCTTTTATTGTCCACTATACATAAGGACAATGTGACCGGGACAATACATAAGGACAATGTGACCGGGACTATACATAGGGACAATTTGACCGGGACTATACATAAGGACAGTGTGACCGGGACTATATATGGAGAATGTGACCGGGACTATACATAAGGACAATGTGACCGGGACTAAACTTAGGGACAATGTGACCGGGATTATACATAAGGACAATGTGACCGGGACTATACATAGGGACAATGTGACCGGGACTATACATAGGGACAATGTGACCGGGACTATACATAGGGACAATGTGACCGGGACTATACATAGGGACAATGTGATCGGGACAATACATAGGGACAATGTGACCATGACTATACATAGGGACAATGTGACCATGACTATACATATGGACAATGTGACCGGGACTATACATAGGGACAATGTGACCGGGACTTTACATAGGGACAATATGACATGGACTATACATAGGGACAATGTGACAGGGGATATACATAGGGACAATGTGACCGGGACTATACATAGGGACAATGTGACCGGGACTATACGTAGGGACAATTTGACCGGGACTATACATAGGAACAATGTGACCGGGACTATACAGAGGGACAATGTGACCGGGACTATTCATAGGGACAATGTGACCATGACTATACATATGGACAATGTGGCCGGGACTATACATAGGGACAATCTGACCATGACTATACATAGGGACAATGTGATCGGGACAATGCATAGGGACAATGTGACCGGGACGATACATAGGGACAATGTGACCGGGGCTCTGCATAGGGACAATGTGACCGGGACGATACATAGGGACAATGTGACCGGGAGTATACATAGGGACAATGTGACAGTGGATATACATAGGGACAATGTGACCGCGACTATACATAGGGACAATGTGATCGGGACTATACATAGGGACAATGTGATCGGGACATTACATAGGGACAATGTGACCATGACTATTCATAGGGACAATGTGACCGGGACGATACATAGGGACAATGTGACCGGGGCTCTACATAGGGACAATGTGACCGGGACGATACATAGGGACAATGTGACCGGGGCTCTACATAGGGACAATGTGACCGGGAGTATACATAGGGACCATGTGACAGGGACTATGCATAGGTACAATGTGACCGTGACAATACATAGGGACAATGTGACCGGGCCTATACATAGGGACAATTTGACCGGGACTATATAGGGACAATGTGACCGGGACTATACAAAGGGACAATGTGACCGGGACTATGCATAAGAACAATGTGACCGGGACTATACAGAGGGACAATGTGACCGGGACTATGCATAAGAACAATGTGACCGGGACTATACAGAGGGACAATGTGACCGGGACTTTACATAGGGACAATATGACATGGGCTATACATAGGGACAATGTGACCGCGACTATACATAGGGACAATGTGATCGGGACAATACATAGGGACAATGTGCCCGGGACTATTCATAGGGACAATGTGACCGGGACGATACATAGGGACAATGTGACCGGGAATATACATAGGGACAATTTGAACGGGACTATACATAGGGACAATGGGACCGGGACTATAAATAGGGACAATGTGACCGGGACTATCCATAAGGACAATGTGACCGGGACAATACATAGGGCCAATGTGACCGGGACTATACATATGGACAATGTGACCGGGACCATACATAGGGACAATGTGACCGGTACAATACATAGGGACAATGTGACCGGTACAATACATAGGGACAATGTGACCGGGAGTATACATAGGGACAATGTGACAGTGGATATACATAGGGACAATGTGACCGGGGCTCTACATAGGGACAATGTGACCGGGCCTATACATAGGGACAATTTGACCGTGACTATACATAGGGACAATGTGATCGGGACTATACATAGGTACAATGTGACCGGGTCAATACATAGGGACAATGTGACCGGGACTATGGACAATGTGACCATGACTATACATAGGTACAATGTGACCGGGTCAATACATAGGGACAATGTGACCGGGACTATACATAGGGACAATGTGAACGGGACTATACATAGGGACAATGTGAGCAGGACTTATGTGTAGACGATGTGACCGTGACCATATTGTTGTAATTATATAAAAGGTTCTGGTATATTTTCCTCCCGTAAGCCTAAAACTATTAGTTATACTACAAATAAAACGGTTGTACGTGAAGGACACACACTACCACATGTGTTAGTACAGTCATCACATTATCAACACTGATAATTGATATAACATTTCTAATAAAGTATACTTTATATTAAATGAAAGTCGTTTGTCCCTACCTGTGGTGCACGAATCGCCTCACATCTTGTTTATGATAACGACAGTTTGTTAAAAATCTTACCTGTAGTCCCTGCGTCACCTCGAAGCTGCCACCTTAGTGTGAGTGACTTAAACGCTGAATTAAAAAACCGCCTTGGAATGGTTCTATACCTATTGAAAGTCCTTTCTTACCCTGTCCTTACTGGCATGTGTGTAGTGGTTGTCATATACGGGTTGTCATGCGGAAAATTGTACACAAAAGGTCCACCAATAAAGCGGTAATAGTACTAGTGCAATTGGAAATTTTCAAATAAAAAGAAATGTCGAAATCTGAAAATAAGTGTTTACATGAGATTAATGTTTTTGAGCCGTTGTTTCAAAATAACGGTTTATAAATATTTGAATAATTAAGCGACACACAATAAATCAATTGATCACTTTCTGCTCCTATCTATATTTGATTGTTGTTATGGCACGATTTCTCACCCAAGCTCTCTATCTTCATCGGGGTATTGTCTGATGTATTTCATCCTCGGTGTTTTATAACTTTTCAATAAACATAATAAAATGTATTTTCAACAATGAAACACTTTTTAAAATCACTCTTGTTGACTCGGATAGAACTGCATAGGGAATTATAAGTGGGTAGAGTCGACATCTTTCTCTTACAACGCAATAAAGGACTGGAATGCATTACCAGATAATATTAAGGCAACCAAGAACTTACACAGATTCAAATTTCTGGTCACACAACATTTGACATCAAATTTTAGACCGGAACAAAAATGTGATTTTGTGAAAGGGTAATAGTCAGACTTCTGTCATATACTCTATTACTTCTTATTTCAAATATAATCATAAACACTGTTATTAAAGTATACTCTTCTGCAAGTAGCAATTAGTTTAAATAAAACTTGTTAAAATTTGTCAATTGAATTATTCAAAATCATTGAATTAAATCCTACTTACATTCCATTTTTTATGTTGTGTCAGATTTGTATTACATAGTATAAGTTCTATACCAGTACAATTATATTACTGTACGTTAATGTCTGAGAGTTTGGTCGGTAGGGATTGGCCCAACCACCAGCCCTTTGGCAGGTAACATTTTAAGTTAATACAGTACTATATATCTTTGGTTGTTAAAATTCCAATATATTGTTAATCTCTTCATATTTTATATCATTCAATTACCAGCATTATTTTATTGATTATAGCCGATGGCACATGTAACATTTTATATCTGGGTGGTGTTTTTTTTTTTATAAAAGAAGTGTTTTAGAGTCTTATCAAATTATCAATATATAATATATAATTATGTAACTATTTTATGAATTGAATTGATTTATTTAGATCTAAGGGACCCCATTGGAATTAAGCCACAATGTGGCTTTATGGGTCATCCCAGGTAAAGGCCTAAATTAGTCTAATCCAATCCAGTTTTAACACCTGACTGATTACTAGTTTTATGGCATAAATAACTTATCAATAAGATCTCATTCTGTGATAATATATTAAAGTATATATTTATATATGTAAGTTAAAGATATGTCAATGCCAGCTGCCATTGGTTAAAATGGGTCAAGGTTAATGCCCATTGGTCAGAGGTAGCAACGAAAGCCCCGTGGGGTGGAAGCTGATAAACCCCTCACTCTCGCTGCTGTATCAAGACGCCATATTGGTTTGAGAAAAAATTGTGAAAACTTAAATTGATTATTCTGCACGTTCCAGTTCACGAAACGTTATTTGATCGACCACAACACTGCGTTAGTGTCGAAAAAGGCCCCGTTCTATGAACGGTAAGTTTGTTTCTTTGAACTTATGAGGGATTCTTTATGAATTTAGGCAACATTCGACAACGTCACATTACATGTAGAATTGACACAAGAATTGAGACATTTATTTTTATTTTTTCACTGTCCCATCCCATCCCTCCTGCATTTAGGCCTAAAAGGTTAACCGCTTTAAAGCGAGAATCTATATCTAGTTTTTGTGGGTACTGCAATAGTGCTAAAGGCAGGATGGATCATCATGGTTCAACGGAATATCGGGTGCTCATAGCCGGACATAGTTTAATCGCTCGTCTAGAGACATTTGTAAACACTTCCCCCTCGCGACACAATGTGGGCCTGTCGACGGATGCAGTTTATTTTCTAGGGGTACCTGGGGCATCTGTATCCTCCTTTCGAGCTTCATTTTTGACGTCTGTTGACCGTTTTCGGCACTTATGTCTACAGAGATGTATCTTACAGATAGGGGGCAATGACATCAGTCATCCTTCCGCGAGAGTTTCGACTGTGGTTTCCAATATCGTTGGTTTGGTCGAGTTGTTGTTAAAATCACAAATCCAACATGTCAGCGTTTATCATCTCCTTACCCGCGGGAAAACTAGGAAACATAAGGGCGACGTCACTATCGACATTTACAATAGCCGTGTGTTGAGGGCAAACGAGATGTTAGCTGAGATGTAAACATGGCGGAGGTGACTTTTTGGTCTCATTATCGGGATCTGTGGGATCCAACGGCCGTTTACGGTAATGATGGGGTCCATTTTGACAACATAAAACCTTACTATCACTCAATGAGAGGTTGTGTTATTCATACACTTAAAAGATACTTTCGATACCACTCTCTGGTGCGATTGTCCAATTGTTTACATTTTTACTTTGGAGATATGGACGAGTTACTTCCCTTATATATCCAACCAAGCGGCCCACCCATGCATGACTGTAGTGATGTTATTTTAATAAATCATTGCCGCTTTCCTTTTGTGTTCATTTAAATTTAATACATTGTCATAATAATGTTTGACTTAGTATTGGGTCCCAGGTGTCGGTTGATCATGTTTACTGCTTGCAGTTTACATATACGCCATACTTCATTTTGATATGAAGGTGTAAAATCGGCCGTACACTAGTGATAAAAAAATACCGGTGTGACCCTTGTCTGGGCACTCCTTTGGGCGACTCCCATGGGGTTAACTGAATATACATAAATGCAGTTTACCCCTTGGTGTTCATGTATTTATGGCTGTTTACCAGTTCATATTAAAGGCAGATATATCATTACAGGTGGTTTCTGTATGAATTTAATTACCATTTCAAAGGGCATATTTATTTTACACTTGCATATTTGACACACTTTTTATTCTAAGTGTTGCTGTTAGCGTTTTCTGCGCTCTGTATTGTTTTTGATTGTAGGTTATGGCTCCAAAAAAGAGGAGCTCAAAGGAGGTCACTCCAAGGCGACGGGCAGCTGTGGCAAACCCTTATGCTCCACCAACTCGGATTTTACCGGCCACCCCCACTACCACAGATGCACCATCACGGGTTGAAGATCCGGCATATTTTAATCAATATTCCGCTCAGTTGCAAGGCATGATTAGAGAGGCTTTCAATGCAGGTATTGAAGAAGCTCGTCTTCAATTTCATCGGGAAACCCAGTCCCTTCAAGGTCAACAACACAACATTTCTACACCAGGCCCTTCAACATCTTCACAGATGCAGGAACCACAAGCTCCCTTACCACCATATGTGGTACCAAATACGTCGCAGGTGACGAACCCAATGGCTACACCAGTATCATCATCAGTGACCATGGAGCAGACCACCATGCTCAGTCAAGAGCCTTCACAGACACATGACCTGGGGCCCACACTGACCTCTGCCATTGGTGGGTGCCATACACAGTCTGCAGCGTCCATTGCTTTACAATTTGCAGGAGCATCCCCCTCATCCAATGAGCCATTTCATTCCAGCACCATACCTCTTAATCAAATGGTGTCTGAAAAAACAAAAGAAAAAATATGGGCAAACAATTTTGTCGATATGAACACATTAACTGATAAGATACCTCCTGCTTTTGAAATAGTGGTACAACTGGAAGAGGGGGATGCTCCAGCACTGCGTTGGGTACAGAAACAAAACACTACTACTAAAAAGTCTATGACCATTGACGAATGGACTACAAATTTCACTGTTTTCATGGTGTTGTATGCAGAGAAATATCCAACTGCATTTACAGAGTTGTTAAAATATTCTGCTCTCATTCGTAATTTGGCCCTGAAACAAGCAGACTGGGAGTGGTATGATAAGCGCTTCCGGGAACTCCGAGTACATAACTCCTCTTTGTCTTGGGACACCATGCAAATGGAGTTATGGCATGAGGCAGTGACTCGAAAGTCTCATACCACACCCTCACCACAAAAACCAACTGCTCATCGGGGATTGTGTTTCAAATTATTAAGGGGTTTGTACTGTGGGGGTTGTAAGTTTGCTCACAAATGTGGAACATGTGGTGCAAAACATTCTGCGAAAGATTTTCATTTCCTGAACTCTGTATTTGAACAGTCCGACAATTCTGGACCACCTCATTCTAACAATTCTTTTCGGGTCAACATAGGGGAGGTCGATACCACAACAATGGGTCGCGTTGGTTTCGGGGCCAAAACAGAGGTCCCTATAGCTCTACCCGTTTCCCCCGTTAAGTCTTCTAATTTGGCCAGTCTGCTCCAGGGTTATGACGCGGAGAGGGCTGCCTATTTGGGTGACGGTTTTACATCTGGTTTAAGAATCACTTTCTGACTCGTTTGGAAGATCTGACAATCTGAAGTCTGCATATGAGATGCCCTATATAATAGACCAAAAGTTAACAACTGAACTTCAGGCTAATCGCATTGCTAGTCCTTTTGAAACATCTCCCTTTCCCAATATGCATTTAAGTCCATTAGGTGTCGTACCAAAGAAAGAAAAGGGAAAGTATCGATTAATCCATCATTTGAGCTATCCTCATGGGGACTCTATTAATGATGGTATTCCAGAGGAATATTCCTCCGTGCATTATGCTACTATAAATGACGCCATTTTGTTCATTAAAGGAACCAGTAATGCTTATATGGCCAAGACCGACATTGAATCTGCTTTTAGAATCATTCCCATTCATCCATTAAACCATCATCTTTTAGGCTTCAGATGGAATAACAAATTTTACTTTGATAAATGTTTACCGATGGGCTTACCAGAAAGTTGCAGGATCTTTGAAGAGTTCAGCACAGCACTCGAGTGTATTGCATACCAACAGTTGGGCACTAGCGCTATCA